TAGGTGATTTCATCAAGTCTATCACATAGACCACCCAGACCTTGGGATATGAAATCATTAAGAGCCTTTGCTCAACCTCACATTATCAAAGCGGTGAATTCATCAAGTCCGTCTCATTAGGACCACCCAAATTCTAGGCTATGAATTCATTAAAAGCTAAAAGCTTAACCTCACCAAATGTACAAGTCATAGGAATGAGAAGTGTACAATCATGAGTCTTTCCATGGCTTCGTTAGTCCACATGAATCCTTGTGTGAACAAGGTCGAGTATCTACCATGAATTCCTCAACTGACGGGCTTAAGCCCCGTTCCCCTCGACGTATCAAGGACAAGTCTCATATTTAGTCCTTTGGTCAATGGATCTGCTAGATTCCTCTTAGATCTTACATATTCCATAGTGATAACACCACTTACTATCAAAGTCCTCACAGACTCATGTCTCACATGAATGTGCCTCTTTTTGCCATTGTAAGCACTGTTTTTGGCAACACAAATAGCAGCCTGTGAATCACAATGTAAAGAAATAGGTAGAGCAGGTCGCCCCCACAATGGAATATCTACTAATAAGTTTCTTAACCACTCCGCCTCTTGCCTGGCCAAGTCCAAAGCAATGAATTTAGACTCCATAGTTGACCGGGCAATACAAGTCTGTTTTGAAGACTTCCAAGACACAGCTGCTCCACATAAAGTGAAAATATATCCACTAGTGGAGCTTACCTCATCATTGTCAAACACCCAGTTTGCATCACAATATCCTTTAACACTGCAGGAAAACCAACATAATGCAAACCCCAATCCATAGTGCCTCGAAGATACCTTAATAGGCGTCTAAGGGCATTCCAATGTTCTCTGTTAGGGTTATGGGTATACCGACTAAGTCTACTAACTGCATAAGCTATGTCAGGCCGAGTGTAGTTTATAAAAAACATTAAACTCCCAATTATTTTAGCATACTCGGTTTGTGACACACTATTGCCATTGTTCTTTTTCAAGTGAATGCTAGCATCATAAGGAGTTTTAACAGGCACAACATCATAACTGTTAAATTTCTTTAACATTTTTTCCACATAATGAGATTGAGACAAAGAGAAACCATTACTAGTTTTGGTAACTTTAACACCCAAAATCACATCAGTTTCACCTAAGTCTTTCATCTCAAATTGAGAGGAAAGAAATTTTTTTGTTTCATTAATAACATCAATATGTGTACCAAAAATCAACATATCATCTACATATAAGCAGACAATTACACAGTCAGATCCAAACATTTTTTAGTACACACAAGTACCAGCACGGTTTGCTACAAACCCAAAACTAAGTATTGTTTTATGAAACTTTTCATACCACTGTTTTGGAGCTTGTTTTAGCCCATACAAGGATTTCTTTAACTTACACACTTTATGGAGGCTGAACCATATAAATTTCCTCCTCTAATTTGCCATTTAAAAAAGCAGTTTTGACATCCATTTGATGCACAATCAGATTATAGCTAGATGCTAATGCAAGTAAAGTACGTATAGTGGCGATCTTAGTCACAGGTGAGTAAGTGTAAAAGAAATCAACATTAAATTTTTGTGTGAACCCTTTAATCACTAGTCTTGCCTTATACCTTTCAATAGTACCATCAGTTCTAAGTTTTCTTTTGAAAATCCATTTACTACCAATGGCTTTACTACCTTTAGGCAAATCAACTAGTTCCCACGTATGATTAGACATGATGGACTCTATTTTACTATTAACAGCTTCCTTCCAAAAGCTAGCATCAATTGAACTCATGGCCTCTTCAAAAGTTTTAGGCTCATCATCAAACAAATGATAATATACAACAAGTTAATCTATTTCATCAACATCATTGAGTTCAGTTAAGAAAGTGGTCAAAAAATCAGGACCATAGCTAGTCTCGGTTCTACGTCTCTTACTTTTCCTAGGTTGTACAACATCATCATTTTTAACAACAGAAGAAGGAACAGGCATAGAAGAGGATGAAGGAACTGATAAAGTTATATTATGTGACACATTACCTTTCTTCAAAGGGAAAACATGCTCAAAGAATTCAACATCTCTAGATTCACACATAGATTTGTCATTCAAGCACATGAACCTATAAGCTACACTATTTGCAGCATAACCAACAAATATAGCATCAAAAGTTTTAGGTCCAATATTTTCCCATTTAAAGGAAGGCAAAGCAACTTTAGCAAGATTACCCCCACACTTTCAGATATTTAAGGTTAGGCACATGGCCTTTCCACAATTCATAGGGAGTTTTATCGAGTTTTTTATGAGGTACTTTGTTCAACACATAAGTAGCTGAAAGAATGGCCTCCTCCCACATATTATCAGGAAAACCAGAACTAATCAACATGGCACTCATCATTTCCTTAAGGGTTCTATTTTTCCTTTCGGCAATGCCATTTTGTTGGGGAGTATAGGGAGCAGAAAGTTCATGGATTATTCCATTTTTCTCACAAAGTCCTTTTAAAAAGGTGGTTCCATACTCTCCCCCCCTATCTGATCTAAGTCTTTTAATCTTACAGTCCAATTGATTCTCAACTTCTGCCTTATAAATTAAAAACATGTTTTATGCCTCATCTTTGGTTCTTAACAGATACACTTTGGTATATCTAGAATGGTCATCAACAAAGGTAATGTAATACCGTTTGCCGCCTCTGCTTACGGTATTCTTAAAGTCAGCTAAGTCCGTATGAACCAATTCAAGCAATTCAGTTTGTCTACTAATAACAGGTTTGAATGGTTTCTTGGAATGTTTAGCTTCAACACAGATTCCACATTTATGACCATTACAGACTAGACTAGGAATTAAAGACATGTTTTGCAAGCGTTTCATGGAACCATAATTTACATGTCCTAATCTAGCATGCCAAAGATCAAAAGTCTCAACAATATAAGCAGAAATAGAAGCTTTATTAATAGAATCGTCAACAATACAGTTTCTAAAATAAACAGCCCACCCGACAAATATCCCTTCCCCACAAATTCCCCATTATGAGATAACACTAACTTATCGCCTTCAAAAACAAGTTTCACTCCAGCCTTGTTTAGAAGTGCACCAGAAATTAAATTTCTACGAAGGGAAGGGACATACAACACATTTTGCAAAGACAAAGAATTTCCAAAATTTAATTTAAGGAGAATTTTTCCCTTACTGAGAACTTCGGAACTGCTAGAATTGCCCATGAACACCTAATCAGCTTTGGCAAACTCATGGAACTCGAAAAACAGGTCTTTGTCCGAATAGAAATGCTTGGTGGCTCCGGTGTCTACGACCCATTCTGCTTTGTTGCCGATGAGGTTAATTTCATAAACTACGGCAGCAATGACATCATTAGATTCTTCAGCAATATGGGCTTGGTTCTTGTTCTGGTCTGATTTCTGCCCATTGTTGGATGCATCTATACGGTTGTAGCATTGCCATGCCTTGTGTCCTTGCTTTCCACAGACATAGCAGCCACCATTGCCCTTCTCAGATTTGTGGTTTTTCTTGAAGTTATTGCTCCTTTTGTTTTGAACTCCAAGCGGCTTCTGATTTTGGTTCTTCTTGGAATTTGCAGCAGCTTTGTTTCGTTTTTTGAACCTGTCATGTTTTGGAACAGAAGATTCCACAATTTTAGCTTTAACAGAAAGTTCATAAGGGGAAGAATCCTTATCCTTAAGGCGGTTGGCTTCTTCAATCTTCATATGACCGACAAGCTCCTCAAGTGACATATCCTTCTTCTTGTGTTTGAGATAGTTGCGGTAATTGGACCACGAGTCAGGGAGCTTCTTGATCAAAACGTTAGCTTGCAGCACCTCGCACATCTTAATACCCTCGGCCAGAAGGTCAGCTACCAGGTTCTCGTACTCATGAACTTGCTCCATGATCGGCTTGTCATCAACAATCTGGAATTTTTTCCACTTTTCCGTTGCATACTTCTTCTTTCCCGCATCATCATTCCCATACTTTTTCTCAAGAGTCTCCCAAACAGATTTGGCAGATTTGTTGTTGATGAAGAGATCGAACAGCGGGTTGGACATGTGACTCAGAAGATGACCTCAAACAAACTTGTTATGCTTCTCATATTTAGCGATATGTTCGTCTATGGCAGAAGACGAAGCAGCACTGGTATCTCCGGCTTGAGGGCAAACTGGACAGTCACGGAGAAGCACATAATCGACCTCCAATTGTTCGAAGAAGATAAGAAGGTTCTGAGACCAACGTTTGTAGTTAGTCCCAACAAGGGGTTCAAGTTTAGAAAGATCAGGTAGGGTTTTTGAGATTAAGAATTCCATAATCTAAAATTACAGTAGGAAATTTTGTTTCTAAATTGTAGGTTGGAAAACTGTAAAATTAGAAAATAAATTAAAATGTGGGCTGAATTTGTTTAATGTATGTATAACGCTATGACGTGTTAGGAACACTGTCTTAGAAGCAAAATTCGCCTCGACTATGGTGCAATCGGAGATGGCGTTGCCCCCCAAGATTTAACACAGCGATCTCCCTTAATGTGCACTCAAAAAGAGAAAGTAGGAACTCACAAAAATGCTCAGAACAATCGTAGAGGAAAACCGAAAAGCAAAAGAGGAAGAAGATGAAAGAATTTCTATGTATTCAAAAGCCACGAAAATACCAGTATTTAAAGAAGAAGAAAAATGTAACTTCCGGAGATAATCAAGCCACGCAAATAATCGTGGAGGAAAATCAGCGAGCAATTACAACGTTTAAAACACCGATCCAAACGTTGTTGTGGACTTCGTAACCGAACAATCTCATAAAACTGGAATGTCACTTACGACTTAGCCCAAAAAAGGCTGGACGGCGTCGGTGGCGGCACGCGTGGGGATGCCTCTTTCTAGCCCACAACAATAAGGAAAGTACTTCAAACATCAAAGTATAAACACTCACATTTAAACCATGTAAAATATACTTTTCCCACCAATGTGGGACAAAACATCTTTCCTTCAATATATAAACCAGTAAATCCTTCTTTATTCCACCAATGTGAGACAAAACATCTTTCCTTCAATATATAAACCAGTAAATCCTTCTTTATCCCACCAATGTGGGACAAAGAATTTTCCTCCAAAACAACAAAAAAAAAACTTTCCTTAGCATTTAATTCCAACAATGTGAAGTACAATTGTACATTTGTTACAGTACAATAGGAGTTTTCGAACCAACCGGTCTTTCTTTAGTAGTAAAAGCCTAAAAGGAAGTTTTACAAAAGAATAATATTGAAAACCCAAATGGGCCTCTATATTACAAAGACAACATAACTATTTCATCCACTAGCTGATCTAATAGCAAGTCCAACAATTCTTGACCCAAATGAATACATACTTCTTCCACAAATTGCATCTTCCATAATTCATATTTTGTCACCCAGTTTGAGTCTTTTTTATGTTCTTCTTCGGCCAATTTACATATTTTTCCCAACATTTCCACTAAATAATCTGCTGCATCTACTTCTTCTTTCACCAGTTCCTGTTTTGTAGCAATCTTGTTACAGTAGTCCTGATGATTTTCTCTTGATTTTGGCATTATTTCTTGTTGCAAATTATCATTAATTTTGATTTTTGGTGATATTTTTCTCCTTGAATTTGATTTTGTTTGTCTTCCTTCCCCTGCTTTAAAAAAATTAGTTAGTCAATTACACAGCATTTATGTTATTTCACCAATCATGCTATAAATTAACTTACCATGTAATTTCATGTGGGTGCCAAATTATTGTATAGGAATAATATTGCTTAAAAAGTTTTGGACAAAATTACACTAATAATAGAAATTTAAAAAGAGATGTTATCAACTTGGATTTTTTTTTTTTTTTTTTTTTGGTTTAGAGAGCACAATGGGTGGGGGTGAGAATCGATCTCAGGATCTCCTAGAGGCGGGAGGAAAGCTCTAACCACTTGAGCTATCCCTCACTCTCATTGAATTTCTTAAAGAAGAAGAAGTTTTTTTTTTTTTCTTAAATTGCATGTTCTAACAGATTCCATATTTTGGCCAAATAACGTGAAAATAATAACATTTAGGTGTTGTTTGGTTGGAGGTAAATAGCATGGGGAATTCTATTTCCTAGGAAATGGAAAATGTATGTGTTGTTTTGACACAAATTTATCAAAGTGGGGGAAATGGAAATTCCAAGGAAAGTTTCACTTCCCATGAAACATGGGAAATAACTTACCAAGCCCCCGATAAGTCACAATTCCTATGATTATTGTGGGGCCTACTTGCATTATTATTACTCATAATTTAATTTCTTTCTTTCTCTCTCCAAATTTGTTAACTTAAATAAAAAATTATCAAGTTAACTAATAAAATTTAGGAAATTAATTCCTAGGAAATCAAAGTTCCTATATTATCAACCAAACAAACTTAACTTAATTCTTAGGAAATGGACAAGGGAAATTACTTTTAGAAATATAATTTCTTATGGGAACTCATTTCCCATGTTAACTAAACAACACCTAAGTACGCTAGCTACCTAGTCCCAAAACAATATGACAATTTCTTTATTTAGTATTTATATGTTCAACCTTTTTTTTTTTTTTTTTTTTTTTGGACAAACTCGTATGTTTAACTTTATACTCTTTAGATTATCGTTTAAGACTTTATACTCCGTAATACCATTACTAAGACCTTTAAACACGGATAGAAGGATAATTAAACGGAGTATTAGGTACGGTATTAATTTGCACAAAACAATAAGATATCAATTAATCAAGTAATTAAAGAAATCATACCTTTGGAAAGAGTAACAAATTCAAACTCCTTGTAATAATTATCAAGAACAGAAACAGGGCTCCGAGATGGTAATTGATCATCTTCAAAACACATAATTTCCTTATGATAAACCTTCTTCTTACTTGTAACAACTTTCCCATTTAATTTCCCCTTTTTCTTCACTAATTTCTCCCTTAATAAATCACTATTGTCACCTACATTATTCCTAAACTCCCTACTAGTAGTATTATAATAACGTTCTTCATACTTTTTCTTACTCTTTCTTTCTTTTACTCTTCTACCATCATTATCATGTCTATTTTTCTTGCACATACAAATATCATTATTCGATTTCGAACCCGCCTCCCTATCCCCCTTCATATCTTTATCCACGCTATCGTCATCTCTTATGACGACAAAGTTATAGTTAACCCGGCCTTGTTCAGGAAAAGAAGCCGAAGTAGTTCTAGCACGACGATGAATTGCAACTCTAGTAGGGTCAAAATCAGGCAAGAAATGCAATGAATTCAAAGACTTGCTTCGAAAAAGCGAGTCAAGAGTTGTAATTTTATTATTCTCCTCATCCTTATTATAATTTGGCAATGAGTCTAACCCCATTAGTCTCGCTATAATCCCCGGACCACTATTTTGAGCTTGTACCTCATGGACCGACCCATAATCAACGTTACGAGAAACTGAGGGCGATTTTTCGGGTTTTTCGAGTATTTGATCGTGTGGAGAAGGGTGAGTAGGGAGATTGCCTGCACAAATGAACATTTGAAGAATGCCTGTAAAACAATTAGTTGGAGGGTTATTATTTGAGTACTTAGTCATTGTTTTAGTTTAGTTTGGTGTTTAAGGGACTTAAAAAAAGAAAAAAAGAGGGTTTAAGAGGTGAGAATTTGGAGATATATGAATAAAAAAGAGGGTAGGAAGGAAGTTGAGGGGTACTTTAAATATAATTAAATTTGATTTATTATGATTTATGAGGTGTGAAAGTGATGGTATAAATGTGGAAAAATTGGTCATAGTCATAGATTCACATTATTGGAGGATGTAGAGACTAGATAACCACGTTGAATGGATGAAAGAGTTGACGTACGGACGAGGAATAAATTGTGATAATAACAATAATAATAATGATTAGTTGAATATGAGTATAGTATTACGTCATTCTGTTCTTTAAGACTTGTTGGTGATGTAATCACGATATTTTTGTTCATTTCTTAATACTTACATCACTTCGTTCAAAAAAAAATACTTGCAATACTTTTTATGAAAATTGTAATTGTGTATTTGTGTTACTCCATTTTCTCTCTCTAAATAACCTCAGTTTAATGATTTTTGTTATTGTTTTTCTTTTTCACTTACATTAATTATCTAATGTAAAATTTCCCTCTTCCAAATAATTTAAAAAATTCTCATTAACTTCACTTACACATTTATTTATTCATATTTTGATGAACTACCTATAAACCCTAATCCTTTTTTTACAAAAAAAATAATGAAGGAAGATAGTTAAATATGGGAAAAAAGAGTAATTAAAGAGGTTGGGTTATGGTTACTAGATGCTGTCAATAGTTAATTGTCGGTAAGTAGCGCGTGCAGAGACGAGAATGTTGACTTTGTGATGGCTTCTGTTTGGACGGTGACGTTTTCAGCCCACTATTCTCTAATCTCCAGTCCTCTACTCCCATCTTATAAATTCTTCAGTCACATTATATTTGCTCTAATATCCTAGTATTATTACCGGTTGTTCAGTGCTCATGGTGTATTGGTCTGGTCAAATAACAACCTACGGAGTATGATGTATGTTCATTGGAGTTAAAGTATAGAGTACAATATACGTATGTTTTTTGGGTTGAATTATATGTTCTTTTTTACTTTAAACTATTATATACTACCTCCATTTTTTTTAGTCGACACATTTTGACATTGTGGCTATTCACATAACCTATTTTGACTTCATTTTATGATTTAATGTTAAATAAATATATAGTCATGTGGGATCTTGTTACATTCATCTCAATGTCTAATTTTCAAATATCAAAATTTTATAATTTTTACTATTACACAACTAAAGATGTTTACATTTATAAGTATGTATAGGCAAACGTGCCTAAATAAAATATGTCGACTAATAAAAAAATAGAGGAATTATATTGTTTAGATATAGAGTTAAAAATAAATATATTGTGTTTAACTACATGTTCTAGGATCTTGGCATGAAGATTAGATGTGTTATTTGTTTCTTTGGCTCACGTTCTTAGGTTTAACCCTTGTGTTCTTCTAGGGATCTTATTATTATTTCGTTTTTACTTTTGTTCAATAATTTTTAATCATGTTATGAATCTAGTTTATGTTCATCAGATGCACAATGAGCATTGTGCATCTGGATGCACAAATCAATAATTATATTTTTACTCATCACGAAAGATAAGAAAGTAGTTTTCTTGTTCACTCTCCGTCCTCTCCTCTGCTTCTCCGACAGGGTTTACTATTTTTGGTCATTAGGTCGAAAACAGTCTGATTTCTAACCAATTCTCTTTGTTTCTCTTTCACTTTTCGTTGTTAATTTCAATAAATCTGAGTAATGTAAATGTACGAGTCTCCCTATAGTGAAGTTGTTGGTGTAGTTGTTCGTTCCCCTTAGGAAATTATTGTGGGTTAAGGTTAACAAAAAATTATATATTCTTCTGTCATATATTTGATTTGTTGAGTAAAGAATCGTGCGAGATCACAATGATTGTCAATTTTTCAAATACGTTCAAATGAATCAAATGAAATTCATCCTCTTAACTATAAAAATATATAGTTAGACCGTCTTTCGAAATGATTGTATTTTCCAAAGTTGTATGCGAGGGGTGTACCATAGTGCAAGATTTACTTAATGATTGTGGTTTCAATGAAGGAAACCATTGTTTGATATATATATATATATATATATATATTATATATATATATTTATATATATATATTATATATATATATATTATATATATATATTTTTTATTTTTTTTATTATTATATATATATATATATATATATATATATATATATATTCGGTGAGAACCACCCTCTATGTGAGAATCTATCCCTTATATGAGGACAAATCTCAGCCATTAGATTGTAATAAATCTAACAGCTGAGATTAATTATATAAACCTTCCCTAACAACCATGCTTAACTATTTCGAAGCTTCAATTTCTGCTCTGCTCTCTCTCCACCACTCAATTTCTGCTCTGCTCTTTCTCCACCATGAAGCTTCAAGGTTTTATCAATGGCGTCTAATTAAAATTTTAAACTCGACAATTTCTCTCTCCTCTTCTTGTTCACGAGTATCAATTACCATAAATTATTGAGGTTTGTAATTCTCTTAGTTTTGTAAATTTTGTAAATTCAACAATCTTAGTTTAATCTTAGCATCAAAATTTACAAAATATTTTTCAATTGCATGTTAATTTCTGATTTTTGTTCAATTTCCTGTGCGTTTCATGTTTAATTTTTGTTCGATTATTTTTCGACTTCCTGTGCGATTTCATAATCTGATTTTTTGTTCAATATTTGTGCGATTTTATATGCCAATTTCATCGATTTTATTTTTATTGATTTTTTTCCTGATTTTTGCGAATTCTATGCGTTTTTTAATTATTTTTTGCAGATTTCTTCGTTCGATTTAAGTAGTTCGATTTTTTTTTTTCGATTCATCAATTCGTTTTTTTTGTGATTTATCAATTTGCCTCGCATGAAGATCTATGTCAAACTGCTGGTTGGTACTGACGATTTAGTGTCAAATACTGATCTTTCATTGAAAATGAGAAAACCTAAATATGTGTAATAATATAGAAAAATTATAATGAGCAAACATAATTATAATGAGCAAATACAAAAAAAGTGAGCAAATACAAAAATGAGCAAATGAGCAAATAAGTTGGTGATGGTGGTGGTGGTAGGGTGCAAGGGACAAGGGCGGTGGCAGGGGAGTGAGAGTGAGACAGGTTGTGGTGGTGGTAGGGTGCAGGGGCACGGATAGGGGCAGAGGAAGGAGAGAGAGTTTGGTGGCGGCGGTGGTGGTGCTGGTGGTGGTGATGGTACGGTGTAAGGAAGAGGGTGAGAAATGGCATTCGGCTCATTATCATGAGTTGCAGAAGCAGTGAAAGAGGTAGTTGTAGCTAATGTTAATGCTAATGCTAGGACTAGAAGAGAGAGAGTGCTCATATTACTATGAAGAAAAAAGAGGAAAGAGAAAGAAAGTGGAGGGAATTTGTGGATTAGAGTGGTGTGGTGGGGTGATTTATTTATACAAGGGTTAAAAGGAAAGCCTGTGGTGGAATAATGAACTTAGGATGGTAAATTTGAGAGAGTGTGTGTAAGTGTGTTTAAGGGGGTGCATATTCACTTGTTACTATTTTGTGGAATTGTTAATGACTTGATATTTCTATTATGTTTAATGACAGAAATGATGAGGAACAAAGAACAACTTGAGAGTCATTCTAGTACCATCACAAATGTGCCAACTACTCCTACAATAGTAGTTTCTCCTAAAGTAGCACCTTTGCTTACTCCTGGAGGAACAAAAGAATGGCTTCTAATATGCCCCAATGAGTTAAAACCAGCTATAGGGATGAAGTTTAATAGTCTTGAAGAGGGCTTTGAATTTTATAAAAGTTATGCATTTGCTGCTGGATTCAACACAAGAAAGCCTACAACTAAAAGACAAAGAAGAAGCAAAGAATTGAAATCACAGTATATCTTATGCAATAAGGAAGGATACAAAGAGAAAAGAAAGGCTACTGTTGAAAAAGATTTAAATAACAAGGAAGGAGAAAGCAATGAAGAAAAAGCTTCAATCAAAAAGAAGAGACTCGTTACTCGTGTTGGGTGCAAGGCACATGTTGTCATAAAGCATTGTGATGATAACAAATTCATAGTGTCACAATTTCATAAGGGACATACTCATGCACTTTATACACCTAGTTGCAATCTCTTACAAAAAGAAGGAAAAAAATGAACATATTGCACAAAAAAATAATTGTGAATAATTCTAAGGTAAAACTTTCAAAGTCACTTATGTTTCATGAATTCTCTATATATGTTCTAATGAAAGTTGTTTGCTCATTTGAAAAATGAGAATTGAATGGTTTGTTCATTTGAAAAATGAGCATTGAATGGTTTGTTAATTTGAAAAATGAGCATTAAATTGTTTGCTCATTTGAAAAATGAGCATTAAATTATTGAAATGAGCAACCAAATAATTAAATGAGCATTAAATTGTTTTCTCATTTTAAAAATGAGCATTGAATTATTTGCTCATTTGACAAACTGTTTTGTTCTTTAAATAGGTGAATATTGGTCCCGTTACAACTTTTCGTATGATGAAGGAAATTGTTGGAGGATATGATAACATTAGTGCATCTAAGCAAGATTTCAAAAAATTTCATAGAGATTTAAAAGCATACATTCAAGGAAGTGATGCTCAAATGTTCGTGGATAACTTTACTAACAAAAAGCTAATGTGGAGCGCTTTTTTCTTTGATTTTGAGATGGATGAAGATTATTGCCTTTGTAGAGCATTGTGGGCAGACCCCCTTTGTAAAAAGAGTTATGCTCTATTTGGTGATATGATATCCTTTGATACCACATACCAAACCAATAGGTAATACATAATAATCACAATTCATTTCTATGTTATAACTATGGCTTAACTTAATGACTTTGTTTTAAATGAACTTAGTATAATTGTTTGATTACTTCAATGTGAAAAGTGAATATCCCCATAAGTCTAATTTTCTTTGATAAGAGTATGTATGTGGTCATTGAATTGCATGTTCATTTGACAAATGAGCATTGAATTATTTGCTCATTTGACAAATGAGCATTCAATTATTTGCTCATTTGACAAAAGAGCAAAGAATTGTTTGCTTATTTCACAAATGAGCAATCAATTATGTGCTCATTTGTCAAATGAGCATTGAATTATTTGCTGATTTAAAATTTAATCTGTATGTGTAAACAGGTACAACATGGTGTTTACTCCATTTACAGGGGTTGACCATCATAAGAGCTGCATTACTTTTGTTGCTGGTTTCATAGCAAAGGACGATATTGTGTCATTTGAGTGGCTGTTCAGATCATTTCTCAAGGTAATGGGTGGGAATGAACCTAATTGTATGATCACGGATCAGGATCCAGCAATGAAAATTGTTGTTACAAGTGTGTTTAAGAAGACTGAACATCGGTTCGATATGTGGCACATAATGAAAAAGTTACCACATAAGGTGGAGAAATCAGTCATGCAAGAAGAAACTGGTTTCCTAAAAAAAAATATGTGCTTGCGCGTTTGGCATCTTGAAACTGAACCCACTAAGTTTGAAGAAAGGTGGAACAAGGTGATGGTTGAATACCACTTGGAAGAACATGAGTGGTTAGGTTATATGTACAAGATAAGGAACAAGTGGATTCCGGCGTATTTCAGAGACGTGTTCCTTGGAGGAATAATGCGTACAACATCAAGATCCGAAAGTGAAAACAACTTTTTCTGCCCCTTTATCAATCCTCATGTGTCACTTGTTGAGTTTTACTTGAGATATGAAGCTGCAATTGATTCCCAAAGACACACTCAAGGTTAGAATGATAATGATTCAAAGCACAAATATCCTGAGTGCAAAACACCACTAGGGATAGAAAAGCATGCCTCACATTTATATACTAACTCTGTCTTTTATGAATTTCAATATGAGGTTGAAATTGCTTGTTTTTCTTGTGGTGTTGATGAATTGAAGAAAGAAAATGGATTGGAAGTTGCAAAAGTAAGTGAAGGAAATCGGACTAGAACATTTGATGTTGTGTTTAATCCAACTAACTATGACACCACATGTTCTTGCAAGCTATTTTATAGACAAGGAATTCCATGTAGACATATGATTTGGGTTTGGAAAGTTAAAAGGTTTGAAACCCTTCCTAAGCAGTATATGCTATATAGATGGACTACTATGGCACTGAAGAAACCAATTTTTGACTTAGGAGGAAACCTGTTGGAGCAATGTGCTAATATAATTGACAAGAAAAAATTGTTAAATGATTTATGGTCAGAGATACACACTTGTGTAAGTTTGGCAGAAGGAAAAGATGAAGATATTTAAGACCTTGTGATAAATCTTCAAGGAATAAGAAAGGATTTGGAGGCTAAGAGGATTGCAAGAAATAATGAAACAACAGTTGGAAGTACAAACAACAAAGAACAAGACATTGAGCTATTAATTGGAGCTAGTGTGCCAACTGAAATAATTGTCAAACCTCCAAAAATTTCAAAGAATAAAGGGATTGCAGTTCATGTATCAAATGAAGAGACTTCAAAAAAGAAAGGGGCTGAGATTGATGTGTCAAATGTTGAAACAAGAGGTAGAAGTGCAAAAAGGCTGAAGGGAGAAAAAGAAAAGACTGTAGAACAAAACCAGAAAAAGAAGAGATTATGTAAAGGTTGTGGTGAATTGAGTCATCATGATATTAGAAATTGTCCAGAAAAAGTGTAATGATACTTTATATAAATATAAGATTGCTTTAGCAAAGGAAGGTAAAATTGCTTTAACTTTATTCAGATCAGACATACTTTGAGCTGTACTTTATTTTTGTTGATTGGGATCTCATCAGATTTCGAAGGGCATATATCATACTCTCTGTATATTGGTCTTAATGAACTTGTATAAACCAGGTAATAAATCATGCTAGTCTGATCATTTACACTTTCACATTCATATTAGTTCTAGGAACCAGTGACATTGCTCCTCTTTCATTCTTATTGGCAGAGCAACAGAAGTAATTGTCCAACAACAATATATGAGGATACTTTGTGGAAAATATCACCATTTGTAATGGTGACATTATCTCTAGGGCAATAGTCACTAAACGACTGCAGTACTTATTCTCGAAGAAACTTATACTTTTATATAAATATAAGATTTAATATTTTTAGCGCATCCCCTCATTAATTATCGAACATATAGAAATTTTGTGTTTTTAATTTTGTTGAAATGAGCAAATAGTTAGTTGCTCATTTGTCAAATGAGCAAACATTTCTTTAATCATACATTAAATCAACAAGCATTTATTTGTTCATTTGTGAGATGAGCAACCATTAGTTTGCTCATTTGTCAAATGAGCAAATAATTAGTTACTCATTTGGAAAATAAGCAAACATTTCTTTGATCATTTAGGAAATGAGCAATCACTTTTTTTCTCATTTAGCAAATGAGAAAATAGTTAGTTGCTCATTTGTCAAATGAGCAAATAGTTAGTTGCTCATTTGTAAAATAAGCAAACATTTCTTTGATCATTTGGCAAATGAACAATTAATTTTTTGCTCATTTAGAAAATGAGCAAATAGTTAGTTGCTCATTTGTCAAATGAGCAAATACTTAGTTGCTAATTTAACAAATGAGCAACAACTTAGTTGCTCATTTGTCAAATGAGTAAATAGTTAGTTGCTCATTTGTCAAATGAGCAAACAATTCTTTAATTTAATCATTCATTAAATCAGCAAGCATTTCTTTGTCCATTAGTGAAATGAGGAATCAATTATTCGCTCACTTAATAAAGTATAAATAAACGCTAGGTATAAATGACAAAGCATTTCAAGTAAAAAATAAAAAAAAGAAAGGTTATAAGAACAAGATTAATACAAACACATTTGTCAAATTTGATCATTTGTCCCATTGAGAACATCATAAAAACTAATACTTCTATTGTTCTATACAAATCCTAAGAACATCATAACAATTGCCTAACCTCTTAATATGCCCTCCTTCCCCTATATACAATAATTACCAAAATGTTATTCTTCCTAAAGTCAACTTGTCTTATCAACTTCAGTCTTCAATTCTCTCCCTTGAATGCTCTTGGATTGCTGCCCCTAGCTTTCTTCAGTTGTAACACTAGCTTCCTCGGCCTTTTTTTTCTTTTGAACAATTTGCTTAACAGATTTAATAGTATTTACTTCACTTGAAATAATTGAGAAGCTATACTTCAAACGAAGTTTTTCAATGATTATGACCTGCAAAGAGAAAAAAATGAAGCAATAGTTCAGGGTAAGGGTCTATTAAATTATAAATAGATAGGTAAGTATAGGGAAGCAATAGTTCAGATTATTCAGAAATTGCAGAAGGTCATCTTATAAAGCAAAATTTTGATTCAGCTAGTAGCAAAATAGAATTAAAATGAAAATAGAATTAAAATGAGCAAAATAGAATTAAAATGAGCAAAAAGCTGGTTGTTATGATCTCCCTTTGTATATAAATAATATCTTAGTCTTCCCTTCCTAGAAGGTGAGGCTCATTGAGATACTCAGATGAGATGAAATGACCTGTAAGTTGACAAATGAGCAAATAATTGTTTGATCATTTGACAAATGAGCAAGAATTATTTGCTCATTTGACAAATGAGCAAAGAATTATTTGTTCATTTGACAAATTAGCAAAGAATTATTTGTTCATTTCGAAAGATTTGAAAGATTTGAAGCACCAACAACAAGCATGTAATGTGAAAGACTTACATTATTTTTCTTGAAACCTGAATTCCACTTTTGCAAACCCATATATGTTTCCATATGCCTAATCATTACAACTCCACAATGCAAATGATCATCATCTGAACACTTTCAGGGTAAATCAATCACTACATCCTCCATAGACTTGTTCTCTTTCGACAAAACAACACTTTGTATAGTTCCTTCACCATCCATGAATTATGAAAATGAACAAATAAATTAAAATAAGAACAAAAACAGGCAGAACAAATATAGTCAGAACAAATATAGGCTGAACAAGACCAAGATAAACAACTAAACTCTAATCATTTTTCTGAAATAATCTAACAAAATCTTAAGCCATACCAGATTATTAAGAAATTTCTTGCTTTCTCTAGAGCCTTCTCTATAATCAATAACCTTCATTATACCACACTCTGTGGTGGTGTTAAAACATACCAAAAAATAATGATCTTTTTCAAATACTAGGAAAAAGAAAAGCTCAATATCTTTCTTTGGGATGATTGTTTTGTTGAATTCCAGCTCCACTATATCATAAAACATTTTATTCCTTTGTAGAGCACGATCACTTTTGTATTGAAAAAGGCATTTCTTAAAAAATACATAAAGAAAAATACATAAATAAGATGAATATAAATGAAAAGAGTAAATATGAAATGAGCAAAGTGAATATGAAATGAGCAAAGTCATATAAAATGAGTATTGAAATTTATTTGACAAATGAGCACCGAAGGTTTTGCTCATTTGACAAATGAGCAAAAAATTAACTACTCATTTGACAAATGAGCAAAAAATAAATATTTATTTTCAATGAATGAGCAAGAATAGTTTGACAAATGAGCATTGAATAGTTTGCTCATTTGACAAATGAGCAAAGAATTAATTTTAGTTTTTGGAAATACAAACTAGATCTACATTCAAATATTAAAAATCATATGAAATGAGCAAAGTGAATATGAACAAAATAAACAAAATAAAATGAACGAAGTTAACTTACACTTGCAGTAAGACTGAAAAAGAAATGTCCACGAGAATTGATATCTCTATTTTGCTCATTATAATTCAGAATAGTAGACCATGCATTAATGATTTCGCAATGATTTTTATTCTGATTTTTTAGCATTTCAAGTTGAAATATCATTACTTCAATATCAACCTCACCCTCGCATGAAAACACTGGATCACTACATATAAGATTTAGGGAAGTTAATATAATTTCAACCGAAGGTATGTAAAATAAGAATACAGAGCTGGACTCATTTTACGAAAAAAAAAACATAAGGTCAATTGCCAATTTCCAGAGGGGTACTTCAAAATGCAAGAGGCTACTGAAATTTCCATCACCCTTTACTCTAAAATGTATTTCTTAAAATAGGTCTAGCTCGGTATTTTTAAATAAGAAAATATTGCTCATTTTGAAAATGAGCAAAATTTAGATAAGTCAAGATAAACAATTATATGACTTAAATAAATACTTATAAACGATTTTTCTTCTCATGAAAAACTGAATCCATAACACCTTTCTGAACTGCTGTTAATGGTGTGTAAATGTTGATAATCCGAGAATTAAAAGGAGATCTAATCTGCAACGATGATTGCACTTTACGCTTCTTCTTTAGAATAGAACTCTCCTTTTTAGTATCTCCTTTTCTCTTAAGCACAATTGGATCTTCTTGAGCATCAGAAATGGACTCTTGATGATTAGCATTCAGAGCATCAGCAACAGCTGATATAGAAGCTATTGCAGAAGCACCAACTTGTGCACTGACAGGAGCAACTACAGGTTCATCATTGGTGCACTACTAGGGGACTTCTCCTGAGAATCAGTTTCTTGAGAAGAGATTCCTAAATTGAATGTAGGAGTTCTAGATCCTTTGGCAAGTGAACTTCTTAAACCATATCTGATACTTAGTCTCCAAGTTTTTTAACACATGTTCAGCAGCCCTAGGCTCTATGACAACGGACGGACATTCAACATCAGCGATACCACTTGCTATGTGAACACATTCAGCAGCAATCTTAGTAACATCAATGGGTTCTGATTCATTTAGATGAACAACCCTTGCATTGATTGAAGATTCAGCATGCTTGTCGTTGCCTGAAATCTTAGAAAACCTATCCCAAGCTTCAATTACTGCCGGATCTTGCCAATATTGTTCATCTTGGCTAAATGAAAGAGTATTATCTTCAGTCAAAGTTTTGGAGCTCATCTTATGCTCATCACAAATGCTCATGGCATCTTCCTTCAACTTTTGTATCTTCTCGTTGTTTGGAAAATACTTGACGGCAACTTCATGTTTTTAACTGAAATCCATGTATGCCAATGCAAGACTAGGTTTGTAGATGCTGTTGCAAGTTCCATAAGGCATTTCTGTAAAAAAAAAAAAAAAAAAAAAAAAAAAAAAAACATAATAAGATGAATATAAATGAAAAGAGTAAATATGAAATGAGCAAAGTGAATATGAAATGAGCAAAGTCATATAAAAATGAGCAAATTGAACTTTATTTGACAAATGAGCAAAAAAAAAAATTGGTTTCCAGAAAAATTATATACCTTCTTTGGATCTTGTTCAGTTTCTTCATTTTTTATACCAATTGGATCAGATTGTTCCTAAAATCAAGCACAAAAAAAAAAAAAAAGTTAGAACAAGTTGAAAGCAAATATCCTAATTATTTGCTCATTTGACAAATAAGCAAAGTGGATATGAAATAAGCAAAGTCATATAAAAATGAGCAAATTGAACTTTATTTGACAAATGAGCACTAAAGTTTTTTGCTCATTTGACAAATGAGCAAAAAATTAATTGCTCATTTGACAAATGAACAAATATTTTTTTTGTTGATTTAGGAGGTCCATTGGATGCGTCATATAGAGCACCACATTGCATCATTATCCACCTGCTGCTGCTACTCCACACCCCCCCCCCCAATTTTGCCAACCAGTAACCAAACTTCACATAATAGACTTCAGAGAACATCGAGTCAAAACGGATGTACATTGAAAAATAAACTACATTAATATTAGATCTACATTGAAATATTAAAAATCATATAAATACCTTCTTTGGATCTACTTCAACATCTTTGTTAGTTTGTGGAGCAGTTGGAACGGATATTTCCTAAATGCAAAACATTAATAATAAAAAAAATTTTAAAAAAAAAAAGTCAAAATAAGTTGGAACCATTTGTAATCATACAAATACCTCAACAAATTATAGCTCAAGCTTATAAAATGAGATCTGACAAATTGATACTTATTCTACAAGCAAAGGAAAAATTTGTTCCAATTTTATTTAGAAGCAATATAAATTAAAAGAGTAAATATCAAATGAGCAAAGTGAATATGAAATGAGCAAAAGTCATATAAAAATGAGCAAATTAAACTTTATTTGACAAATGTGCAAAATTATTTTTGCTCATTGATGTGCCATATAGAGCGTCACATTGCATCATTTTCCTAAAGGCAAGATTTGTTCCAATTCAATTCTACAAGCAATGCCAAAGGCATAGAAAAGCTAAGTATTGGTTGAAAGTGAAATACCATTTTTGGTTGTTTGCTGCCAGAATGACCAACAACCTTCAGATTTTTATCAAAAAGTCCAAGCCTCCCCTTAAAAATTTCCAATTTCTCACGACTAGACAACATATTGGTTGTCCAACCGTTGAGAACTGGAGTTTCTCGTTTGGCTCTAACTTCCTCAATGACAAACTGATCAATATATAAAAGCTACAAACAAGTAAGATAGAAAAAATTAGTACATTAAAATTAAACAAATAAATTAAAATTAATACATAAAAAATTAAAAAAAAAAACTTAGAAAATACCAGCCCCACCCCCTACTTCCACCTACCCACACATTTCAATTCAGTAGCTGATCACAATTCTGATTTCAGAAACTGATTTCAAAATCTGATTTCTGAATCTAATTTCAAATTCTATTACAGGTTGTGAGTGCGTGTATGTATTTGTGTGTGTGTGTGTGTGTGTATTTTCTTGTTAAAAAGTGTAATGATACTTTTATATACATATAAGATTTAATATTTTTAGCAAATAGTAATTTATCAATTTTTTGCTCATTTGTCAAATGAGCAATTATTTAGTTGCTAATTTAACAAATGAACAAAAACTTAGTTGCTCATTTGTCAAATGAGCAAATAGTTCGTTGCTCATTTGTAAAATGAGCAAACAGTCCAAATAAATGCCAGGAATACCATAAGAAATAATAAAGATCCTGGAAAGTATCGAGTAGGAAGCTCATCCTATTTCATCTTCGCCTTCACAAGAGAATCAAGGATAAATTTCGACCAATTTAAATCCTTGATTTTATCAACACTAGTCAAATATCTGAGAATGTCATGATTAACATTCTTGTTTTTTCCTTCTAACATAAAATAACAAAATTAAATTAAAATGATCAAACAAGAACTATAATGAGCAAAATGAAAGTAAAATGAACAAAATGAAATTAAAATGCTCAAAATGAAAGTAAAATGAGCAATATGAAAATGAAAAGACTACCTGACATTAAAGTGGAAACACAAAGAACTACAAAATTGCGTTTGAACATTGGCCCAGCTGGTTTATGGTCCTTCAAATACATTGAAAGCCCCCCAATGTTGACAGATAATGAGTTCTATTTGAACTGTTTTTTCCATTGGGTAATGACTTCATCCTTTGAAAAAACATTTGCATCCATCTCCATGCCTCCAACTGGCAGCCCTAGGACCTCATGTACATGTTGTTCTGTAATTTTGAAAGGTTCAAAATCAGGAATATTTAAGGAACAACTCTGAGCATCAAAGTGCTTGATCAACCAAAAGCCCAACTACAAAGGCAGTTGGGACACTTTCAAAAATTCCAAGGACTCAAATCCTATAGCTCTAATAACAATCAACTGGTCTCCCGAAAGCTTCTTAAGAACATTAACAACAGATAAAGGCGACATCCTATTACGCAATGTCCCATAAACAATAGATTTTGATCCTTGCACTTCATCAACAACGTCTTCACCATCAGGATCCTCGAACTTCACATTCTGTTTTTCTTTCACTCCTTTTTCAACCTTTTTTCCTTTACCCTTAGTAGCGACTAATTTGATTCTCTTCTGCTTCTTTTCACTGAGCTTCTCTTCTGCCACTACAGCCCCTGATGAAACAACATCGGCAGCAGCCCCTGATGAACCAACATCGGCAGCACACTCCTTTTCAATAGAGTTCTTGCTCATACAAAATCATAAAAAAAAAAAAGTAAAATATCACATAGATTTTTTTTTTTTTGCAGGTGTAGTGAAAAGGATACTTTAGGGGAGGGTCTAGAGTATGTTATGATAGAGAAGCATAGACTGATAAATTATCTAATGAACAATTGTCAAATGAGCAATCAATATTTTTCTCATTTAGCAAATGAGCAAATAGTTAGTTGCTCATTTGTCAAATGAGCAAATACTTTGTTGCTAATTTAACAAATGAGTAAAAACATAAATGCTCATTTGTCAAATGAGCAAATAGTTAGTTGCTTATTTGTGAAATGAGCAAACATTAGTTTGCTCATTTGTCAAATGAGCAAATAATTAATTACTCATTTGTAAAATAAGCAAACATTAATTTAATTATTTGGGAAATGAACAATCAGATTTTTGCTCATTTAGCAAATAAGCAAATAAACATTCACTAGTACATAACTAACCTTAAGTAACACCCAAAAAGTGTTACATAAAGTGGTAAAAGTGTTATTATAGACAATAGGTAACACTTTAGTGGGTAATACATCCGCCCTAGTTTCCTAAAGTCTTATATAACACTTTGGGGAATGTATAGTAACACTTTTCAAAGTGTTACTATAAACCCTCTTATGTAACACTTTATCATATTATTAGTATCATCTTTAAAGTGTTACTTTTTATTTCTTATGTAACACTTATCTTTTATAACATTTTTTTTAATATTAGAGTAACACTCTAACAAACATTAAGTATCATTTTTGCAAATTAATGTAATACCTTTTTTATTAATAGGTAACATTTTTCAACCATCTTCTGAACATATAGTATCACTATATTCGACATTAAGTATCACTTGTTGCAAACTAATATAATACCTTGTTATTAATAGGTTACATTTTTTTTTGTCATTATTACTACTACTACTACAATTACTACTAATACTATGATTATTCAAAATATGCAACTTTTTTTTTAAATACATAAAAATAATATTAACATGTACAACAACCACGAATGTGAGATTAACATATACGATAGACAATAATTTGAATTGATATAATTTCATATTTCTTTTATAATAAAAATCTATCTAACACCAATTTTTTTTTGTTTGGATAAACAATCTAATAATCTAAACAAAAAGAAAGTCAACTTCGGTCTCTAGACCAATTAAATTCAAAAAGTCAACTTCGGTAACAGTGATAGCAGTAACAATAGATAGCGATAGCAGCAAACAGTAGAAGCAGCAGTAACAATAGCAGACACCAGTAATAGCAGCAGCAGTCAGCGGTGTGATAGCGGCAGCAATAATAGTAGACAACTCCAATTTCTCAATCCCGGAAAAAAATAAAGGAAAAATGTTTATCTAAGTTGATCTTGTATTATTAATCTCCCCAAACATCAGCAGCTCCATATATGCAATTACGTTTCTTGTAGTCTTTCAACAAGTTAGTGACTTTCAGGCAGAGAGAATCAAAAGGATCGGCAGTAATCCAAGACTGTTTATCCAATCAGAGGAGTTACCTCACCAATGCAGACTTGCAGATACCTCGATGAGTAAGGTTCTCAACACAAATTGCATAAAAATCACAATAATATAAGCATATGAAATTAATACAACACCTGAACAACAGGTGCACAAACCAATTTCTTGATTAAAAAGGGAAATTTTCATTTATATCCTTTTTACTTCAAATATCATTACAAATTATCACAAGCTAACATCAAGCCAGACACTACATGTTAGACCATAGTCAGTAATTGAATAATCTAAGACCTGACATGGTCCTCTTCTCTAAAGGTGCTGATTCCAGGTGAAACTCAGATAACTACAAGCTTTGAGTATCTCATAATAAAAGTAATGGAAAGTTCTTATATCTTCATCAAAGAAGAATAATAAGTAAAAAAAGATATTCTTCAAGAAAAACTGTTAACATAATACTTATTAAGTCTTTGAGGCAAATTGGTATAATGGTAAGACTCTATCTCAAGGGCGTTTTTAGGTATTCTTTTTCAGAAGTCTAGTTCAAGTGTCAAAGGAGTTCTGGTTATAATCATATACAAAAACAAAGTACTAATCAACTCCATAGCATCCTTGAAAGGAATTCATTCAATCAAAGTTCATAGTTTGCAAAGCCAATGTCACCAACCATTAATTAAAACTTACAGCCTCGGTAACACATTGCCAGCATGCTAAACAAGTTCGCAAAGATTAGAAACTGAAAGACCATGCTTGCTCTCATCCTTAAAGAACAATTCCAACTTCCTCAGTTTGTCGAAAGCTCAAATAACTTCCTAAATACGATTTAAAATATCATGAAAAAAAAGAAGAGATTTCAAAAATCTGCAGACTATCATACAAGCAAGAAATCACTCACAGAGTTCAGTGTTTTTTGTTTCATGCATTCATATTCTTCAAATTATTTAAGAAGAAAAAAACTATTTTGTGGGAAAAAAAAAATGCCATCACTCAAGCTCAGCAAAACATGACATAGTGAAATGTGGAGAATATGGCCCTTTGATAAAATTACATACACAAAACACTAACCACTGCTCCACTACTCTTTCATAAGATCCCGCTTGATTTCTTTCTCCGCCTTAACTTCTTCTTCTATAGGTTGGTAAATCTGATTATTACAAGAACTGTTTCACAAAATCACCGGAAAACTAAGGCAAAAAAAATTGGTACATAGGACACACTGAATTATGGATTAATATCAAAACAAGATGAATCTAATGAGGGGAGGAGTAAGCTGATAATGCTCTTTTCTTCACCTTCTGTGTGTTAGAGTGTTAGACTGAAGTGATAACCAAATACACCACGAGGTCCACGACACCATTTGATGAGAAACACACAAAAATTATGTGACATTAATATAGAATTTCATTGAACAACAAAAATAGGTAGATGCAAAATTGTATATCCACCAAAACAGATCATATAAATTTAATAAATTCACAAGCAACAATCTCTAAATGAGTAAATTCATTAACTTATACATATTGAAGAAAGAGGCATAATAGACTCAGCCGAGCAAATATGACATACCTTCGGGAAAAAAAAACAAAAAAAAACTATTCAGAAAGAACAAATAATGAAAACTAGCGTCGCCCGGACTCGAAACAGAGACCTTTAGTGTGTTAGACTGACGTGATAACCAACTACACCACGACACCATTGCAAGAATAGAATAAGTTATATTGTCACCTCCTGAGTTAGATTCAGAGTGTTAAAATTGGATATATCCCTAGCAAATTTCATCTTAGAAAGAAATCATTTTTTACAACCTTATTTCACCATTCATGGAATGTGTGCGAAGCCATCATCCAAGAGGTATACAAAGACCGTTTCTGGAATTGAACTACTAGCACTCTAGCATTGCAAAGAGTTCAAGGCCGAATTGAAGGTATAGAAGGCGCAAACTTATATAATCAATAGCAAAAGAACAAATTGAAAATGCTGAAATAGGCAAATTAATAAAGGGGAAAAAAGTTGAAATGGGGAAAGAATATTCATTTTTACCTACATATGATCTGCTGAATTCAAACCAGCTACCTAAATTGAGCACATATGACGATGATTGAATTAATAATTTCCTTGGCTTGACCAGGCCAATTGACACTAATACACAGCACAATGGTGTCAAGACTGATGTCCCATAATTATCACAAAATCACGTTGGTTAATTAATATCATTTATAGATTATTGAAATAAGCTTGTCCAAATCTAATTTAACCACAAATCCCTAGAATCTAAAATAATTATTTCTTCTCTAAACCATAGGAATGATCACAAAAGTAACAAAAAAAAAAATCAATATATAAAGATAAAATAAGAGCAAATATACCTGAAACTGCTCCGTTTTATAGAGAAACGCATACGAATTTGTAAACGGCGAAGGTCGAGGAATTCTGCAAAATAAGAGACAGAACATAACATGAATTAAAGTTTTTGGCCCAACAAAATGGAAGCTTTTTACTCAAAAATACTCATTTGAAGAAACCCTACCCTTGATTTCTAGGTTTGAATTGTGAAGGTATAGAGAGAAAGAGGGTGAGGGTGAGGATAGAGAGAAGAAATAAGATTAGAGGTTCAAGAATTTTCGTTGCTGCCGGGAGGAGGAAGTTTAAGGATTGATTTTTTTTTTTTTTTTTCTTTGGCGGTTTCAAAATTAATTTTGGCCTAAATATTATTTTTCATTTTCTTTTGGCGACAATAATAAACCTCGAAAAATGAATTGTTAAATTTGGAAATTTTAATTGAATGTTTAATTTTATTTTATTTTTTTTCCAAAAATTAGGTAACACCTCTTAGTATTACCATATAATGTTACCTACTTTAAAAATGTTACTTTGAAATGTTACTCATGTTAAAAGTGTTATATTGAGTGTTATATTCTAAAAAAATGTTACCAAAGTGTTACTTATAAATCTAATAATTTTGCATTTCAAAAAGTGTTACCAAAACGTGTTACACAAACTCAATTTTGTACTAGTGAGTTCTTTAATAATTCATTAAATCAGCAAGCATTTAATAAGAAAACATAAAATGAGGAAATAAGAAAACACGTACATTATCCTTTTCCAAAGGTACATCCGTATAATCTTTAGCATTGGTAGAATCAATAGCAATCGAAGAATCCATAACACTGAACAATTCTACAATTATATAAAAAATAAAAAAAAAAATAAAAAATAAAAAAACAGAAAAAAAATGTAAGCTAACTAAAACAAAGGAAAAACCAAATTAAGAAGCAAATTTGTAAGAGAAATAAAGAGGGGGAGGGGGGATTCACCACATTTCTAACAAGAAGCAGAGGATCCTAAATGTGAGAAAATAGTGTACTACCAACCAAGAAAAAGTAAGAAGATTAAAAAGTCCATATAAACTATCAGAAGGTTCAATTCACAGCCCACATAACTTGGTTGGAGACTATTACCAACAGCCTCCCGACCAATATTAGTATATCACAAAATTCTAGGACATGATAGCAGTCCCTGTTTTCTCAAACAAGCAGCTTGAAAAATATGCATGTGTTTATTAACCATAAACAGATCATCAATTTTAACCAAATACTAGCAGAGATATGTATTAATCCCAATTCTAACATGATCCAGTTCACCAAAATGTTCTAAAGCAAGAATACATGTTAAAATCCATATGAAACTACAAATATCTAAATTTTGTACTGAAGGCAACTTAACGGAAAAATCTGATTCAAGCAAGTCAGAACATTACTATAGTCATAAATAAACTTCTGATCTCCATAAATCAGAAACTGAAGATTTGACGAGGATAAAGAAGGCAGCAGAGAAAAATACAAATATGTTGCCAGCACTTAGTTTTGAAGCTACAATAAACACATGCACTCCAGCTGACTGATGTACAACTCTAACACAATGCATTTTTAAGACATAACTGCTAGTCCGCCAGACAAGTAAATGCATGATAAATAAAAAGTCTTACAAGAAGAATATGTCAGCCGCCTGAGGAAACGATTCAATCCGGTTGTGATCATCAATCACCAATTAGAATTTCAATTTGATTTATAGAGTGCAATCACAATCAATAGGTGCTAATTACAAGGTAATATATTTGTTAATCATATACTTTCTTATTTCCTAGTTTCCTATTAATATACACAGAGATGGCATTAAAAAAATTCTCAAGTCTCTTCTATCGTGCACACGTACCTACAACAACACTAAAATTCTCACCAGGTGTGATCTTCTCTTCTTTTATCCTCATCTAATTAGTATCAACTGCAATTCATTAGCCTCATCTAATTGCTTGGTCTCGGAATCATGTACTAATGGGAACTGAATATTAACAAATGCAAACCTTAAACCAAACACTCATTTCATCCCTACTGTCTAGCCAAGTTATCACAGCCAACAAAAAATTGAATATCATACTTCCAGTAGCAAAAAGTATGTGAAATTACTCTAATAAAGCTAAACACAAAATAGTTTATTGAGCAACAAACAGAAAATGAGCAAGTAAATATAAAATGAAAAAATTAAAATAAAATGAACAAACACATGCATTGTATTTTCTTGAAGACCAATTAGGGATGATTACATAGCAATTACTACTAGGTTTCCAAAAAAAACAAAGAAAATGTAAGATAATTACTCAAATGAAGAAAAATTAAAACTAAAATCAACTAATAAGAACTCAAATATAAATTGAATAGAAATTGCCATGAAAAAAATCGTACGGAAATTAAACCAAAAATCGCCAAAAATCTCAAAAAAATTGACAAAAACCTTAAGTAATCAAACTAAATCAACGAAAATCAAACTTTAATCAACGAAAATCAAACTTTAATCAACGAAAATCAAACTAAAATCAACGAAAATCAAACTAAAATCAACGAAAATCACCTTGACAAAGAATCAATGAAGTTTGAAGAAAAATTGAAAGCAAAGGAAGAGAGCAGTAAGAAGGGAGCAGAGAAATTGAAGGAGGAGAGAGAAAATGGTGCGTCGAATGAAGGAGGAGAGAGAAAACGCTGGAAAATTATTTTTGAAATTACGTTTGATTGGGATAAATTGTAGCCAGGTGCAATTGATCCAACGGTTGTAATATGTCCTCACATATAATAGGGTTCTCACATAAGGGATGTGGTCTCATATGATCTCATTTCTATATGTGTGTGTGTGTGTGTACACATATATATATATTTGTTAAATTTAGATTTCGGCTCTATTAGGCAAAACTAGCGGTACCGGGTACCTTTTAGCGATCGAGTAGCAGGTAGTTGTTAGGATAGTAAGGAGCAGTCAATTAGCAATGGGTAGAGGTTAGTTGTTAAAGTAACAATTGGCGGATGAGTGTTCCCTAATAGTCTTATGATTTTTCTTGAATTGATAGCTTATTTAAAAAAAAAAAAAAAATCAATCAAAATCTAATATTAACTTAGGGTTTCTATATTGTTTACAATTAATTTGCCATAAGCTAAGTTTGGATTTAATTTGAAAAAATTTGAGTGTTGAGAGAAATCAACGATATAAGAGAAGTTGCTTGTTTGATTAAAAATCGTAAATTTTAATGTGGTAAAAGAATGAAAATGTAAGTGGGTTCCACTTGAACGGAAAAGGATGACAACCCAAAGCATTTGAAAAATATAAGGTGATAATTAAATAACAAGAAACACCTATATTAAGAAAATAAATAGAAGTATAATTAACAAAATGTGGTAAATATTTGATATATTCCCAAATTTAAAAGGTTTTTTTTTTCCAAATGTTAAGTAATTAATTATCGTACCATGATCTCTCCATGGTTCTTCAAAAAAAGTGTTTTATAGGCCGTAAATAGTCAAATTTCTATGGAGTTTGAGTGTAGTAAATTTACACTCTTTGAAGGTAGTAAGTACCCCTTATTGTGGGTTTGAGTGTAGTAAGTGCCCCTATGGTGGGCTTTGTTCTAGTTTTGTTTTTATTTTTTGAGTTTAATATGGTAGAAGTTGTTTCATGGGTAAAGATTTGTGCGGGATCGAGAAAGAGGTTAATCCTTCGATTACAATCAGATGAATCAGACGAAAATTTTCTCCACGACTACAACAGATCGATAGACCCCTTCGTCGAAGAAGGCTGTAAATCACAGCGATATAAAAGAGGGTATGAAGAATGTATGATTTGCAACAACGATCATAGCTCTGCTGAAAGGATGTTTTTATTTGATTAATTGTCATGTATTTATTAGATTTAAATCTCTTTGTAGATATCGTATGACTTTTTATTTATGAATCAATCTTTATTCAAAAAATAATAATTATCGTATCATGACATCAAATTTTCCACACTAAAAAAAAATTACCAAAAATAACAATATGGGTATTGGCACAAGTCACTTGATTGAAAATGATAGAGCACTAGTCGAATAACAAAACCTGTGTCGAATACTTATACATTATGCGTGATCAAAATCTACACCACTCAAGAGAAGTATAGGTTCAAAAAGATTGGATAAAATTACATCCATTTTCTTTCTTCTCGGTAGATAAAACGCTATCGGCATGCGACTCTTTGAGTTTCTTTATCCGCCAAAGCCAACCATGAGATAAACAAATAATTTAGAGAATGAAAAACATATAAATTCCTACCTTTTACAAAGTAATGTGACTAAACACTTATGAATAGTGTTGAGAGTGAGACAGTTATGTCCCTTAATATATTTGTTTAATATATATATATTTGCCTTAAATATACTACCTCCGTTACATATTAGTTGCAATTTTGGGAATTATTTGTGAAACATAAAATATTCCAAAGTTGCAATTAATATGTAACGAAGGTAGTATTTATTCTATTTATTTTTATGAATATTGTTGAGACAATAATTATGCCCCTTAATTAATATGTTTATTTACTTATTTGTCCTCATTAATGTTAATTGCCTCTTTTTGTGGACTCTTTAAAATAGTGTGCGAACATTTACATGCTAAAAATATTTATTTACGTATTTTCCCTTATTAATACTAGCAACAACTATAGTTATGACATAATGCTAAACCAAAAAAGCTCCCCGAATATGGCTAACTATGGCGCGAATATCGCGTGCGTTAGTCGTCCTAGTATAAATAAAACATGAGTCCAATCTGGTTTTAATAGGAGAATGCAAATGGAGTCGTTTGACACTCCTACTTGATATTGCCCCTTTTTTTATCTTTCATTTTCTACAATCTTATACCGTCCACGACCACTAGTTCAATTAGCAATTTATAGGTTAATGAAACCGTTAATTGATATTATAGCATTGGAGTACCAACTAATCATCGAATTATATAAATCATGCCTATATCTAAATATTAACTAATGAACACATACAAGTATCCAAAACTTCCCTTAATTGTAAATAAACCAAACAAGCTCCTAGCTCATTTCTAACTAACTAATAACCTAGAACAAGCTCCAAACTCGATTAATTAGCAGCATTATTAACAAGGAAGTAGTTACTAAAGTCACAAATCTCACAAGCTCGGTTGTGCTACTCAAAGGGTTGATAATCAATTAGCGGTTTCTGCTTCCACCAAGCATGAGTAATACATGCAGATGCAATGTTTTGTGGTTTACTACTCCGTACATAGTAAAATCGCTATTTAAATTAGCGATTTTACTATATATAACGCGGTTTATATGGTAAAACCGCTAATTGAATTAGCAATTTTGTACTGAAGCGGTAAAAAAAAATAAATTCAATAAGCTAATGTGAAAGGTATTGTAGAGAATTTTTATGAAAAGCAGCGTATTTGTGGAATTTTGGTTTGTTTAAGCAATTTTAAGGAAAATCACACTTAAATTTTTCTTATTGGACTATCCTATAAAAAATCGTCCCATTTATTTATTGGAAGCTTGACCCATTTATAGCTGGGCCGGATTAGGGTTTTTTTAATGGGGCTCCAACCCATTGAACAGCTCTAGTTGCGAATAATAAGGAAAAGATTAAAAAAAAAAAAAAAAATGTCAGTTCTCCATTGAAGTGCACTGAACGTTCTCCATTGAAGCGCCTTCTGATACTTGTATTCCTCATTGAAGCAGCTTCTGAGGTAATTTCTTGTTTCTATTTCTAATCATCATGTCAATTTCACAATCTAGGGTTTATCGTTGATCTAATTGCCAGTGTAGTAAGTTTAGGGTTCGAATATTAGAACTATTGGTTCTAATTACTAAGATTATATAAAGATGATAATGAGGGATTATGTTGCTAGAAATTTGACAATCCGTTAAATTATTTATGTGATAATTGAATCAAATTTGGTTGCTAATGTGTTGCAAAACCCTTTAATGTTAGTAATAATGCTTTGATTTTGTTGCTGTTGTTATTGAAAGAGTGTGGATTTTGTTTAAGAAGAATTTCATTGAGTGGATCTTCTGATTATCTCGTTATGCCCCTTTTCTATATCGGACGATTCCTTGTGGCGATTCATGTTAGCCGACCCCAAATCATTTTGGGACTAAGACTTTGTTGTTGTTGTGGTTGCGTATTGTAGATAGAAAGAGATGAGTGCATACAAGGCTTTCAAGGCACAGGTCCCAATCGCATGGAGCCCCAACTTGTATATAACATTGGTGAGGGGTATGCCCGGAACCCGAAAACTCCACAGACGAACCTTGGAGGCGTTGCGTCTTGGCAAGTGCAACAGGACTGTTATGAGATGGAACACTCCTACTGTTAGGGGAATGATACAGCAGGTCTCGCAATTATATACATGTTTAGTTGTTCTGTTTGTTATATACCTAACTATTAATTTGGTTTCAATCTGTTTCAGGTTAAAAGGTTGGTAGTTGTCGAGACTGAAGAGATGTATAAGTCTCGAAAGGAAAATCAGGAGAAGCATCGAGCTTTACGTCCTCCACTCATTGTCAGCCATCAACCTCCTACTCCTGCTACGCAATCTTCTTAGGTCTCGTTTTTATATTATGAGGTTAGCTGTTGCTTCTTACTTGAGTGTAATTCTCTCATTCCCATTTGTGAGTCTGGTTGGCAATTGTTGTTATAAAGCTGTTTCTGCGAATGATTAGCTGATCCACCATGGTATACTTGTGGCAAAGTTTGACCTTTCTTCCTTCAGAAAGTAGAGAGAAATGTAAATGCTCATATAGTTTTATACTTCTATAAACTAATTTTCATCCAAATATGCTGCTGGTAGTTTGGAAGGAACTGACAATTTGCACAAAGAAAGGATGTAGTCCATTATTTTAGAATGACAACCCTACCTATTTGTGTGCTTATTACATCAAGTGATGTAGTTCTGGGTTGTGATGCCTCACTTCTAACGTTAAGAAACTACTGTAATACCTTTTCAAAGGCATTACTTTTGTCTGGATGAGTGAGGAGTCTGGAAGTACGTTGTTGGATGTATTTTAGGGTTTTGGATTTTGGAATGTCTTCATTTGTCTCCCCTCTGAATTCTTGGTTATACAGAGTTAGTATGGACCTGTGACTCTTCACTGCAAGTCTGCAACATTAAGCTGAGAGGTGATATTCATATAGCTTTCCTATGATTATGGTTGTGCAATTTGGTTGTGGTATGCATAAGGATTGAGAAAGTGGGAGTAAGTTTGTTTTGGCTTTAAGTTATGGCCGTAAAAATAGTTCACGTGCCCGGAAGAACTAATCCTATATATATATCATATTAATTATTCATCAGCTGTACCAATCAGTTTTAGTCTAAATGGAGTAGAAACCAAACTATTGTAGGAGGTGACCCAAATCTCTAGGTAAATCTTATATATTGATATACACAGATGTGGATTTAGGATCCAATAAAAGTAATTTATAAACAACATGTTCAATTCGCCTTGAAAGAATGAATTGGATCTTGAATCCCCTATAGTACTCTATGACTTCTTGAGATAATTATTCATTTAATACTCTTAAAATGGTGTGAGTGTGAGACTTAGACAGTAGACTCAGAATAATTAATTTAGTTAATTTTTGTAATAATCGGGTCTGGTTTATTTTACATCTAAAAATGAGGGATAATAGGGTATTTTATTGGTTGATTGGTATAATTATATCTCAGGCTTGTTAATGTGGGCTTTGATACTCTTTTTACTGTTTTATTATTGGTATTAGTAATTTATTTCGATAAGGTTAATTTATTTCGATACCAGGGATTCTTGTAATACATCATGAAATTATAGTATGAGAGTGAGAATTTGAATCTGATGTATTTAGTGAAATTTATCGTCTTTTAGGAGTGATACAAAATCTTTAGTATTAATCAAAGAGTAAATTGGGATTACTTAGATTAAAATTAGTCTAAAGTGTTTAAAACTCTACCCCTTCTTTTGCTTAGCTTTGCCATGTTATAGTAATTGCTGTTTAAGCTATCACAAATTTCATATCTTTTGCATAGGTGTTTGCGTCTTCATAGCATAGATTGTTTAGTTGTTTTATAGTTAGACTGCTTGTAATCTTCAAAAATAATGTTACCATCTAATTACTTTTTTTTACTAGTCTCAGACTTCCCTTCAAGTTGCTAAATCAGCCTTCTTAGGAAACTTTGAGAATATGCAAAGTATAGTGGTTTTTTTTAAAAAAAAAATAAATAAAACTGTTAGCCTAAGATGTTGGAGTTAGCTTTGAGATCATTGATGGACAGAATTAGGTTTGTAAGTTCAACATAGTGAGAATTAGGTATTCCCTGTTCAATGCAGTCTTGACTCTTGAGAGATGCTATCGTTGGTGACTTGGTGGTGTAACTGGCTAGCTTGGATTTTGTTTCATGCTGGTCTAAATTACAACTTCAATCTGGTCTCTTTCCATCTTAACTTGCAAAAAATAAAAATTGCCTCTTTCCTCAGTTTATGTTTTTCAATTAAGGTGGAGATGAGCCCACTGAAGACTAGTCAATTGGCTTGTGCTGAATTCACTGTCCTAGATCAACAAGTAGGTTGCTGGAGTTCTAAAATCCAGATTATGATGAGAACATGTTTTGTTATATTATTTGGATCCCATCTTTGTATCACGATGATTAATGTTCATACTTGTTATCATACTCGGCGACTGTCATGTGAACAATTTCCTGATAGATTTCTGAACTGTTCATGCTATGCAGGTGCCAAATGTTATTTAGGAATCATGAGTCGAAGACAACTCAGTAGGAAGCTCATCATAAATTTATCAGACTTGCTGATGATTATAATTTTATCCTCTAGCTGTATGGATGTGGTTGCTAAGTCTTCGAGAAAAGGTTGTTTTACAAACATATTGTATAACATATTATCACTCAAGGGCTGAGCTGAGATAGGATCAGTTACTAGAGATGATAAACACCCCTCGTGGTTTAAGCGATGGGAATCTGCAATGTTGATTTGATCTTTTCTGCACCATAAAATTCCATTTTGTCCTTCGTATGTCTGGATTTCTTCTTGCAGTTTCCCTAGGTCCTGTTTTTAAATGACAAGGCACATCCAACATTTGGTGTTCCGAACTTCCAATAATGTCAACTTTTGACTATTGATTTCTATCTTTGTACCCCATAGAATATATGATCTGATGAAAATGTCCCAGATAAATCTAGAAATGTAATTTTCACTGTATTACTGTAGTGCTGTACGGTTTTTGACAAATTTGATTTTGACCAATGAACTCAATTCCGGCTAATATTAAGGGCGAAAGGTAAGTACATGTATATTGTTACATTCTCTTTGGATTCAAGTTAACAACTGAAGCTCTTACGCCACCACCATGCTTCTCTTACAACGTTACAAGTATTCGCTCTATTATGCATTTATGCACTATTGTCGTTGCAGCCAGCATCCCTATATCTCAGACATCAAGATTCACAACCTACCTTTTGACTATAGTTGTGGTTGCGCTAGCTAAAGAGCAAGTTATGGTCTCGTGGACAAAATTACACATGGAATTTTAGGGAAAACACTGCCTCTTTGTGAGCACAATTTGTCACAGTACAAGCACTACAAGGTGGAAACCACAAGAAAACTTTTTTGGAGTTTATGACGTCCTTTTGAATTATATACGAAGTATATAGTACTCTCAAACACTGAGCAACCTTTTTTTGCTAATGCTACCTCGCCTATAGCTACTAAACAATTAAATGCGCAGTTGCAAGCAATTTATTGATGTATACAAGACATGATCACAATGATTTCATGGTTACAGATATTTACAAGAAAGAATTCATGCTGCTATCAAGATTTTTTTTGGGAATACTATATACAAACTGTGCTCTGTCCTACTCAATGTTCCCCCCAGAAATGTTAGAATGCTGGTTTTTATGTAGCTCCTGCAACCTAAATGGAATAGTTGCATCAAAACGAGCACTTTGGGGGTTCTCAGCAAACGCCACATGGTAAGCCGATGCACATGCTTGTGGCCAAGCCATAGCTACACGACTAACCAAATAACCAATCAAAAAAGCATAGATCGAAATTTCAGTTGCATACTGTTTATGAACCACAAGTGTCCAACACCCTCCTGCTAGTGCGCTCAGAGCCCCTCCTGCAATCCCACAGAAGAAGCAGAATGAACTTGTCAAATCACAGTCAATAAGCTCTTCCATCCCAGCTCTCCGGAACATCTCCCACGTGTCAGAGGATGATTGGATGATCCCCTTACAATAGACTCCAACATGGACGAACCCCCAGCGATTGCCACATGTCACAAGTCTTGAGGCAATTCCTGAGTAACAGTCAGTACAAGAAAACAGGAACTCATCAGAATCTCCTGCTATAAGGCCGATTGCCCTAGCAGAGCCGCAAACAAGGGTGACAGTCGGGACTAAGACTGACCCGAAGCAGACAGTTCCCACCATGGGTCCCACTGCCACTCTAATAGATGTCCAAACATCCATTGTTTCATCTCCACAAGCAAAGTTCAGATACCTGACACGCGAGACTGCCACCTGCAGGATATTCTTGATCACCTGCAGTGTCCAGGTCATGCTAAGGATGATGACCGCAATGAAAACCTTATCAATATGAGTTCCAGTTGCAGTAGCTCCACCAATCCCACCCACCAAAGCCGAAGAGTAGATGACTGTAACAATGACAGACACAACAGTCATTGAGATGGTCTTCTGTGGAGGAACTGCAGTGCAGACAGATAGCACAGAAACAGCATGATTAAACCGTGGGTTCGCCCAGCAAGCATACAATGATTGAATAACAGCTACTAAGATCGATAAAATTCCGAAAGCTAATCCAACTGCTGAACCAGTAGAAATCAAAAGAACACCCATGGCACAAGTTAGCAGGGGACTAAACCAAAATGCCAATTTGACAGCTCTCGAAGAATGACAGTACGTTACAGTCTGCCATACTAATCCGGTAATTCCTGCCAGTCCAACAGACATCAGCATCGGAGGATACCACTCAGATGGATGAAACCGACGACGAGCATGCTTAGATAGAAAGCCTCTGATGATCAGAATCACTGCAAGCACAAAAATCACAAGAAGTTGCAAATAAAACACAATCCCTATAATCTTCCCGCTGAGTTTTGGCTTATCAACCGCGATTCTTGCCTCTTCCACCTGCATTGATAATGATTTTCTTAGGAAATCTTTATGCAAGATTAAAGTTAAACAAGAACAATAACAACCCAATTAACTAAATCTCAATGGGTTTTTTTTTCTTTTTTTTTTTTTCTTTTTTCTTTTGACGTGGTAAATATTATGTAATACAAGAAAAAGAAAATAAAGTTAGACAAAAAGAACAAGAAATTGAGTAACGTGTTAGACTATAACATAAATAAAATGATAATGACTAGTAAAAATGATTAAAACAACTTTGATTTAAAGCCATAAAATTGAGGAAAGAGAAAATTATTACTTGTGCAGGATTCTTGTGAAGATCATCTGCTTCAACTTGAAGATTCTTATCACCTTTGTTATTAATTGGAGTTACTGATGAAGAACTCATGATTCTTGCCATGTGAGAGGCACTTCTTTATTTTTTTTTTTCTTTTTTTTTTTTTGGATTTAAATTTTTGTTTCTTTTAATTTCTTGCGCCTTGAATTCAGCAAAAATATAAGGATAACCATGTTATATAAATTTGAAAATCAGTTGTTATATGATAAGAGAAAATTAAGATAATAACAACAAACAACTAATATTGACCAATTAATTAGTGACAATATTTTCTATGATAGTTTACCTTATATTACACACTTTTTGTTAATGGAACTTTATGAGTTAACTTGGTCAAGTGTGTTACATTGTGGGCAGGTCAACGGTTTTAGCCGCTCAGTTGGCATTCTATGATTTGTTTACCTTAAAAGGCCCAAAATCCTCTGCCTCAATATAAGACTTATTTGTTCGAGAAAGGCTACACATACAATCCTTGTATGTGACAACCGCATACAATTTGACATGACAATCTATATAATTGGTTAATTAATTGGGCCCCAAACTCCACTACTTTTGAAATTTCATTTGAAATCAAATAAAATTTCTAATTAAGCTAATCTTTGAATTTCAAAATTTATGTCATTTCCAATGTAATATTTAATTACTTTAAAAAATTCCAAAAAAAAAAAAAAAAAAAACTGTTCATTTCTTCATGCCATGAACAGCTATCCAGAGAAACGACGGCCATGGAAGACGAAAAGAAAACGTGATTTTTTTTTTTTGTTAATTTATATTGGTCATCTCTTCCCGTTGGTTTGTTCATCTTTGCCATGAAAGGATTATGCTTGGTCTTTCACTTGAATTAAAATCGTATACAGGGGCTTAGATTTTTCGATTTTTTTTTGGAGTTCAAATAGAGTATATTCCAATGAACTAATTAATTGCTATGTAATATTTGCATAGGATATGGTGTAAAATAGTTTGTGGTTTACTCCCTTTTCTATTGAACTATAGAGTTAATCTTCATCATTTAATCGTCCACAACAATTGAAATAAGTCTTCTTCCCCTTTTCTATTGAACTATTGAAATGGGTCATATTCTTCTTCTTCTTCTTTGCGTTTTTCTATTGAATTTGGAAATTGTGCCAAATACATTAATTAATAAAGTCACAATAGTAGTCAACCCCGTATCATTAGTACGTAAATAAATTGGAGAAACAAAGCTAAGGACCTTAGTAATGGCTAAAAAAGGTTTAAGGTCGGCGAAAATGGCAGAAAACCCCCAATAATATCAAACAATTTAATTTGCAAATTGTTTTGTAACATAAGGAAATTATTTAGTAACACAAGCTGTTTTGTTTGGTAACCACATATCTTAAACCGACATAGCATTAATTAATATAAATAATTTTTTCCTGCAAATGTTGACATGATGATTATCCCGCAATCTTGGTTACTAACGCTGAACATTAATTTGCATTGATGGTACATTGTTTCGAGTAACACATAGATCGTTAGGAAATAAAGCGACATTGATCATGTGTAATGATTTTTTTTATCTTTTTTTGGTGTTCCACCCGGTTCACCCTTTTGGGCTAATCCGGATTCAAGGATCAGTTATGGGTGGTTAGGTTCGAGTCCCCTTCCAATTGTTGTTGCGGGGGATCGAACACGCAGTCCTCCCTACCAAGTGTAGTCCCAATCACCATTACACCAACAACCAATTGGTATGTGTAATGATTTTTGTTTGAATTAGTTTCACGTCCGAGAGAAATATATATGCGACAAGTGTTTAGAGTTATAAACTAGGTTAAATCCCGTGCCATGCACGGTAATTTTTTCTCAATAATCAACCAGCTTAAAATATTTTTTCTTATCTTTCATGGCAAGCTTTTTCCTACATAATTGAATCGGCTATTTCACCAAATGCCACTGAGCACTTTAATAATTCACCAAATGTCATCAACCTTTTCAAAATTCACCAAATGCCACTGCAAAACAGCGCATTGACACCTCGTGCCATTAATGAGGTCTACACGTTAGTTGTCCGTTACTGCAATTCTTATTTCATGAAATGCCACTAAGCAGTTTAAATATTTCACCAAATGCCATTACTTTTGTAAATTTTTACACAATATACCTCTAAATATACTCATTGTAACGGCTAGTTTGTTTGACCTTTTTTGAATTTTTTTTGGGCAAATCTAGCCGTTGCACCCAATTTGTTGTATAAATAGTACACTAAAACACACTTAGTAGACCTTTTTGCATAACCATGAGCTTGATATCAAACAGATCCTCCTCAAACACATGAGTATGCATATGTCAAGGTTCCAAACAAATTTTGCAATTGTGGTAGAAAATATGCAATTAGAAGCTCGGAGTCAACATCTAATCCACAAAGGCTGTATTATAAGTGTGATTCATGTAATAGCTTCAAATGGTGCAAAGTTCAGATGCATGAAGAAGGTCAGAGCAGGGGAAGCTGTTATGTAAGGGATGGCTCAGGACAAAGCAATTTGCATGAAGAATTGAAACAATTGAAGAAGAAAATCAAGCAGTAGCAAAAAGTTCTCGATTGTATTATGAAATTAGGGGTACTGATGTGTGTAATAGTTGTGATTGTAATGATGAAGTGAACTATTGTAATTGCAATGAAATTTAATAAAGAGGGAAATTAAATCATATGCGCATTTAAATACACTTTCATTTAAGCATAGTATATAATAGCTTCCTGTTCAAATCATGTGCCCAAAAAATTGCTTCCTGTTTAAATTACAAGGATATGTAAAAAAAAAAACTAGACAACACAGCACACACTACACTGTTAATGTTCAAAAAATACATGGATAAACTGGTTGTGCATTAAAAAGCTGAGTGGCTGTGCATTCATGCTGCTCTCTTTGCTTTCTTCTTTGGTTGAGAGGAGGTGTTTGATGTGCTTGCTTCAGTTGCAGCGCTTTTTTTTCCTTGATGCATAAGTCAACATGTTGTGCCCCAACTCATTGCATAAGCTGCACTTAACTATTGAATGCCTCTTCCCTTTCCTTGCTTCATTTGGCCCTCTTCTTCTTTGCTTTTTTTGTCTTCCTGCAGATCTTTTCACCAGTGGTGGTAGTATGTTAGGCAGGTTCAATGATGGCCATTGACTTGGGTCAGGCATTGGGTACATATGCTCTGCATAAGTTAGTTTGTATGCCTTCCCTTTGAAACAAGGGGATACCAAGTCTGCAGGTTGTAGCCTCTGATGGTAAATCACCCTTAGTACATGTTTGCATGGGATTCCTGAATGTTGTCACTTCCCACAACCACAAGTCTAGTGTTCAGCTTGATGGGAAAATGCACATGTTGGTCTCTCACCTCAAACTCATCACCACCACATGGGATTGCATAGCACAACCTAGACTCATCTGATCTTGTTTGCAGAATCTTGGCTGCATATTTAGTAAGCTCCATATCCCCCATGCCTATAGCTTTGTCAAACCTTGAGTCAATCCTCTTCATGCCCCACTACCTTATAGCTACAAAATAGCATGCACGAAATTGTAAAACAAAAGAATGCAGGGCACTTGTGTTAATGCAAGTAGTTACAACATTTAATGGGTGGCAGTGAATACCTTCAAGTAGTTTCAGAACAGGTAGATCTCTGTAGGGCTTTGTGCAGGAGTTGAAAGATTCTACAAAATTTTGTTGTGTTATGATCACAACAGTGTGCAGGATCAAACTTATGTCTTGACCAGATCTCAGTGCAGCTCTCTAAGTATTCAACAACCTTAGGATTGTACTCATGTATCTTCTGCATTGCTTTATTGAATACATACTCATTGTATGCATCAGCTGCTATCCAAAAAAGCTTATGAGATTGGTCTTGCAGTTCATGTACAAGTGCTGGCAACATACTCTTCTAGTTGCTCTGGGAATGTTTCATGAATTGCTGTGTCAACACCCTGCAAAGAAAATAGTTTAATGGCTGAGATTTGAAAAAACAAAACAGTAAATCACATGTAATAAACTAGTTTCTAGGTGGTTGACCTTCATTCTTTCAGAGATGAAGGTCCAATCATCTCTCCTGCACCCTTCCTTCTCAAAAAGGCATTTCAAATTCCTCAAAAAATAACCCCAGCTGTCAATACTCTCATAACCAACCACTCCATAGGAAATGGGAAAAATCTCATTGTTCCCATCAATCCCAATTGCAGTTAACAAGATTCCCTTGAAATGTCCACTTAGGTGGGCTCCATCAATGCCAATAATAGGTCTACAACCTCTCAAGAATCCCCTAACTTGGGCAGCAAAAGATAAAAAACAAGCCTTGAATCTTGGAGGCTCATTTGTAGTAGGTTCACCCCATGTCACAAGAGCATAACTACCTGGGTTAGTCGCTTTCACCATTTCAGCATACCTAGGCTACAGTGAGTATGCCTCTCCTAAACCACCATGAATGATCTCCTTGCACGCCTTGACCTTGTAAAACAACCTTTTCTTGACTTGAATCCTAAACCTTTCCATACAGAGTCTCTATAAAGACTCAACTAGAATGTTAGGATTGGCTTGAATGTCTGATTGAAGATGTCTACACAGCCACTCAGAACTTACTGCTGGGTTTACTCTAGCCTACCACTACTTTTATGCTCCCCTGTCAAAGTCTTGATTGCCCAGCTAACCTTATCTGTCATTGTGGAAGCATGATCCTTCAGTTGCATGTATCTATAGCACACCTTGCTATCAATCTTGTTCTGTCACTCTTTTCAACATAAACACCAAATCCAACCTATATACAATAATCTTTTAACACATCAAGAAATGATTGTGTGTCTCCAAATATCAACCATGGCTCTAATCTGATGGATCCAAACTCTTGATAGCTCCAAATTTTACCATTCTTATAGGTCTTATCCATGGTTGAACTGCCATCAAGGTAATCCTCAAATTGCTTGTCAGGAATGTCATCATGAAGGCAATCTATTTCTGTCTCATCCTCTATGAAGTCACCAATATCTGCCTCATCATCTTCTTCTTCACTGTCAGATTGTATGTAATCATCATCTTCACTATCACCATCACTACCAGAGTCATCAGACCTCTCCTCACTTAAATCAACAGTAGGTGCTATGTTCCCATTCCTATTTCTTTCTAATCTCCTTAAAGTAACACCTTGCCCCTCAGCATTAACCTTTTTTGCAGCACTCTTTTTTGACCTAAATCCCTTAGGTCTTGATCTACCTCCCTTTTTAGGTGTAGTAGGAGATGAAGTACATGTAGCTGTTGCAGATGGTGGAAGTTGGGGTTGAGATGAAACTGGTGCTGTTTGTGGCTGAGGAGAAACTGGTGGTGAGACTGGTGTTGGTTCAGCAGAAGGTTAGGATGATTGTGGTTGAGGAAAAGGTTGGGATGTTTGTGGTTGAGGAGAAGGT